ACGATAAAATGCCCCCTCTCACAAAAATGAGATTTTCAAAAAAGCCTACATAAATTGTTATATTTGGTCTTTACGCATCGAATGATATGTGTCTCGATGTTGTAGCTCGAAAATCCTAGGAGATAGATTTTTACAGTACCCCTTTTTAGCAGTTGTATAGGAATTTTATGTTTTTTCATTTTTATTCGAAAAATGTAATTGAACAAAAAAGTCTTAGATTTTTGTTTTACACACGTGAACCAAGTTTCAATGTGATCAGTCCGTAAATAAATTAGTTTTTACCCAGACGCTCCCCTTAATAGAGGGTAATGCATTTACACGCTATTGTCATTCAAGGCAGCCTGTGAGGAGAAAGCTGGATGAAATTTCTAATAAAAATGGAGGACGTAATAACAGATGTCCAATGCGAGATGATGTTCAATTCTGGAAACATTAATCAGCTACAGATTGAAGGTTGATAATATTCGCCATCTCTCCACTGAAATAAATCAGATTATTATTCAAATATATTATTTATTTATTTATTTGGGGCAGGGTGGCCCAGTGGTTAAAGTTCAGAGTACCAAGATTGGCGCAAAGAGGCGCGGGTGCGATCCCAGCTCTGTGCGCCAGTTTCTGGTCAGAATCGGCAAGGAGGCCGGGCGGTTAAGCACAGCAGAATTGTAGCAGTGAGTTGCGAGTTCGAGACCGCAAAATGCTGTGAATGTTCTGAGATGTTAAGAATCGGCGACAGGCCTACGGCCTAATAACGCTGAAACCGCTATTATTATTATTATTTAGAAGCGATGAAGCAGTTGTTTGTTGCTGTCGTGCGCCCGAATCTGGAGTTTTGAAACGTTGTGTGGTCACCGAGATTTAAAGAGGACAAAAATTTAAAAGGGGAATGTTCAAAGACGTGCAACAAGGATAATTCCAGGCTTAAAGGGCAAGTCCTATGAAGAAAGATTAAAGATTATGAAGCTTCCAAGCTTCAGTTATCGACGTCTGCGTGGGGACCTCATTGAAGTATACAAGTATACTCATGGTTTATACAAGGTCCCAGAAGGCTTGTGGGGACCTCATTGAAGTATACAAGTATACTCATGGTTTATACAAGGTCCCCGAAGGATTACTAGAATTTGAAACAAAAAATCAACACCAGGGGCCACGGCTATAAGCTAAAAAAAGTGCGCTGCAACTTCTCCACGCGACAAAATTTCTTCTCGCTTCGAATCACCGACATGTGGAACAGCCTCCCCGATGACATCGTTGGCGCTTCAAGTATGAACGCGTTCAAGAGCAGACTAGATAAAGCTATGGAAAAATATATGTTCTGATTTGAAATGCCTAGCACCATATCGAACCCGGTGGAAGTCTAGTAGCTATTTCAAATTATCGTCAGTCATGAAAAGGTCCGGTCAAATGACACGATTTTAGATCTTCTGTGAACAAGGCACGAAAATGAAATGAATCGGCGACAGGCCACATCACACCTACAATTCAGCGCCGAGATCACTGTTATGGTATATTATGTTAAGTGAATATAATAGAACAAATATTGAACTGGATTTTAGAAATAAAACTTTAAAAATGCTCTATAAGTGAAAAGACGATAATAAAAATAAACAGAATAACCATTTTGTATTTCCTTCTCCAACTTTGAGGACCGATTCGACACTTCAGCGAACTCGCGTGCGAACTCGCCTGCGAGCTCGAACTTCATTTTCAACTCTGGCACTCATAACTCCTTCAATTATGAACGGATTTTATTCAAATTTGAAATATGAGTAGATAATATCAGTACGCTGCGGAGAGTATTTTTTTCATATTTTTTCATCGATAATTTTTTTTTTTACGGAAAACCTAACTTAATTTTCAACTCTGGCACGCATAACTCCTTCAATTATGAACGGATTTTATTCAAATTTGAAATATAAGTAGATAATATCAGTACGCTGCGGAGGGTATTTTTTTCAAATTTTTTCATCGATAATTTTTTTTTTTAATACGGAAAACCTAACTTAATTTTCAACTCTGGCACGCATAACTCCGACAATAATGGACGGATTTTCTTCAAATTTGAAATATAAGTAGATAATATCAGTACGCTGCGGAGGGTATTTTTTTCAAAATTTTTCATCAATAATTTTTTTTAATACGGAAAACCTAACTTAATTTTCAACTCTGGCACGCCTAACTCCGTCAATAATGGACGGAAGTACTGATATTATCTACTTATATTTCAAATTTGAAAAAAATCCGTCCATTATTGACGGAGTTATGCGTGCCAGAGTTGAAAATTAAGTTAGGTTTTCCGTATTAAAAAAAAAATTATTGATGAAAAATTTTGAAAAAAATACCTTCCGCAGCGTACTGATATTATCTACTTATATTTCAAATTTGAAGAAAATCCGTCCATTATTGACGGAGTTATGCGTGCCAGAGTTGAAAATTAAGTTAGGTTTTCCATTCGAGCTCGCAGGCGAGTTCGCACGCGAGTTCGCTGAAGTGTCGGACCGGTCTTTGAGGTGTCTCATAATTGGAAGACCAAACTGTGGAAAAACGTCATTGCCACGAAAGTTGCTATTGGATAACTTTTTTATTTCAACAGTCTTTTCCTTTATAGCAAGTCAACTCATTAGCCTGAATATAAGTTGTTGAAGAACGCTTTCGATGAGGAATATAATAAATCCGGAATAATTGATTTATTTTCTGACGGCAATGGCAATATTGATGAATAAACAAATAAAAAACTTTTAAAACCACGTTTTCTTAACGGACAAAAAAGAAAAACATTTACTCTTACATAACATTAAAGTTATGTATAATGTTATGTAATGTTATGTATGAGTAAATGTTTTTCTGTTTGGCCGTTAAGAAAACGTGGTTTTAAAAAGTTTTTCATTTGTTTTATTTCATCATTTTTAGTTTTGTAATAACCAGAAAAACGTGGTTTTTAAAAATGGTTTTTTATATTTATTTATTTTCTACTTTTTAGTTTTGCAGTTTTAGCAATTCAAATCAATTTCTAGTGTTGGTAAGTCTGGATGTTTGTCAATTAACTCGATTCTTAACCGTGAAATTTTAATTTTTTTCACTTTTTTACTTTTTTTCTAAATTTTTTTAATTATTACTTCTGATGACCAAATCTTGAATTATTAGGCAGCATAAGCATGCATGCCAAATTTCAAGTTTCTAGGATGTTCAGAAGAGCTCTAAATTAAGGTCTGAATTTTTGATGACAGACAGACTGACACGAAACGAAGCTAAGAAAAACGTGGTAATATCTTGAAAACTTACCCAAAAGACGTCAAGAAAAATGTGCGATCGAATATTTTGAGAATACTGCTTCTGTACCTGATCCACGGGATATAGATCCAAGGAAGAAGAATTTGTTCATTTTTGATGATACTGCTACGGAAAAGAATCAAAATCCTGCTGATAGTTTTTACACCAGTGAAAGACATAGTAACTGTAGTTCAATTTATTTGTCCCAAAATTATCACATATTACATATTACCAAGACAAACCATTTGAACGAATTCAAATTTAATAATTCTATTTAAGTTACCTTTCATCGATACGAAGAATATTCATAGTGATAACATTTCTTTTGATATGTTCTTTGCAGAGTTTCAAGAACTGTGTAATGAAACGTATAAAATACCTTATAGTTTTGTGTTGATTAATAAAGATAAGCATCCCGGTTCTGGAAAGTATTTTAAAAATTTTAATCAATTATATATCCCACAAAAATTATTTCCCGGCAACCGCTCTAGGTCAAGCCCTGAGTTCTCGGTTAAAAAGTGCTCAGTCGATCGGGGTAAGTGGTCATTAACCCATGATTTTGATGGTCAATATCCAGAGTAATGATCAGGTTTTTTTGATCGGAAGATAGTGCTTAAATTTTTGATGGTCAAGATTCGAAATAAGATTGTGGGTAAATGATCAGGTTTTATTCGGGGGTAATTGGTCAATTTTGATGGTCAAGAGATTCGAAATAAAATTTTGGGTAAATGATCGGTAACCTGTTAAGCTGTTTACGCAAATTGTTACCATAAGCTCGGTCTCTATACTATTATGTGTCTGTCCATGGTAATGAAGATGTCGTGAGGGATGATGTTGATTGTGAACTTTTTAAATTTAAAAAATTTATCGTTTCAAATAGTCAATTTTCTGGAGGAGTCAAGATCTTTCAGAGAGAGAGAGAGCTTCAGTGCGAATTCGTTCTTTCTCTACTCGTCAGGTACCAGCTGTTTTGAGGGACGGCAGTGATTTGGTCGTGGTCTCTATTGCTTCTAAATAGTCTAGCAGCTATTAATTCGTCTTGCTTCGGCATTGAAATGAGCAATTCTCCGTTTTGTTCGTGAACAAGTCTTCATTTTATGGGATCGCGTTCTTCGTAATGGATTTTTATGGCAGGAGGAGAGGGACGTTCTAAGGAATCACGTCAACTGTCTGCTTCCCTGTGAAGTTTAGTGAGGACCGTCTCATGTCATTGTCACCAATAAACCTTGTTTGGAGGTTGAAGTCGGTGTCCGGAGTCTCGGTCTTAGGTTGTTTGTATAAAGTTAATAACTAGTTAATAAATATACATATATATTTATTTAATAATATACATTCATATAATATTAGTCTCTGTCAGGAAAAGATGCGTCAATGTCGTAGTTGGTCTTCAATACTGTCCCACTCGTCCTGTCGGGAGAGGCTGGCGATTTGTGCTTCGAGTATTATTGCTGTCAGTGTTAATAGTGTCCAGTCAGTCCGCGGCAGGCTATGAATAGGTATGTTTCTTTGTTTGATTGCTTCTAGGTATGTTTATTTGTTTTATTTTGTTTTTGATTGAATAATTGTGCTGATTACACTTTGTATTGTATTTTTGTTGATGGTACGGATGGTTTGCAGCTAGTATGCGGTTGTCGTTGTGGCAGTTTGGACATTTCTTGCAGGTTGTGTCAATGAAAAAAAACATTGTATAACCAAACTACATGTGCGTTGGCCGATTATCTCCTAGAAGTTACCTCGCGCATTCCAGTGCCAGCTCTACTTTCCTGCTCGGCCGACGTCAGCGCTGTGACGACCTGCAACACAATCAAGGTCTACGTCAGTATACAGTGACGACCTGCAACACAATAACGGTATTGGTCAGTACAGGGACGACCTGCAACACAATCAATGTCTACGTCGGTACAGTGACTACCTGCATCACAATCAAGGTCTACGTCAGTACAGCAACGACCTGCAACACAAAGTCTACGTCAGCACAGCGATGACCTGCACCACAATCAAAGTTTTAGGGCGAATCAATGAATGAATTTAAATCACCCGCATCATCACGCTGTACATCGATGAGAGCAGAGGACAATGCGGCCAATTCGAACCATGCGTTCTAAACTCTAACGGATAATTCAATAATAGTTATGTGCTCTTCTTGGTTTTATTAATATCGAAAACCAACGTGGCATCAAGTTGTAATGACCGCGCGCGAAAGTTCATGCTTGTGAAGAGATGAATGCGGGCATCTGATCAAGTTACTTATAATTTCCAACAATAATAATCTCAGCTTTGACGAACACAGAATCATGACGTCATACAGCGTAGATCTTTAAAAATCCTCCTGCATGCGCCGGTCTTATCTATAATCCAAATTGTTAGCGTTACCGACTCACTTTCCAACCCAAAGCAGTAGCACTGAAACGCACTTTTGCCGGACCAAACCCACACAAGGGCAAAGAGTGCATCACTATTTGGACGATGACCTGCTTATTTCCCTAATAGATAATATATGGTTACAATTAGGTCCTACGAGTTTATATACAGTTGATGTATAATGATTCAGAAATGCCATCATGTAGGACACTGTAGAATGCAAAACAAGGCGGAGCAGAAAAAAGAATGATCTAAATTACAAATTTACTTGAAAAAACGGCAAACCATTTAGCCACTTCTTGCAAATTCATTCCTTCTATTTTACCTTCTCCAGAAAATATCTGCCCAATAATACAATCATTTTAGAAGAGAACTCAACAACAATAAACATTAAAAGGGGGTTCATCACCCTACATATAGCTAGAAAAAGGCCCAACGACAATTTTTCGTTCAAGAAAAGAGTTCAGGAACAAAATTACATCCTTGAACAGGGCTCAGCAATAATTCGATCAATCTAGATAAGGCTTATCAACAATAATATTATTCTAGAAGAGGGCTTAATCAAAATAGAGATCATCATTCTAGAAGAGAATTCAGCAACAATACAGTCGTTCACGACGTCGGCTTAGCAACTTACGAGTATTCCAAAATATGGCACAGAAACAATACGATTATTCTGGAAGAAGGTTACCCAACAATACGATTATTCTGGAAGAGAGTTACTCAACAATACAGTTATTCTATAAGACGGTTCCTCAAAGATACGATCATTCTTTAAGAGGTCTCCACAACAGTGTATCATTCTCGAATTGGGCCCCGCAACAATCGCAATGCAACAATACGATTAATCTGGAAGAGGGCTTTTCAGTAATACAGCTATTTTAGAAGAGGGCTCGGCAACAAGACGATCATTGGAATAGGGCTTCTAACCAATATTATCATTCTAAAAGACGGCACGACCTCAATACGATAATTCAAGAAGATAGATTTCACAACAATATATCAATCTACAAGTGGGCATGCAAAGCAACAATACATCAATTGAGAAGTGGATTCAACAACAATATATCATCCAAAAGAGGGTTTCCCCAAAGTATACGATGCTTTTATTGGAGTGCTCCGGAACAATACGATCATTCATAACGAGGGCTTTGCGATCTTTCGATCATTCCAGGAGAGGCTCCAAAATAATAGATCATTCTAGAAGAGGGTTCTGAAGAATACTATCATTCGTGAAGATGCAATAAAGCAATACGATCGTTTTTAAAAGATGGGCATCTCATGAATTCGCTCATTCTTAACATTTAAGTGTGCTGTAATGGTATCAGGTTGTAAACCCTCATAATCATAAAGATTATTCATTTACAGAAATGTTAAATTTATAATTCGTAGGATTTTCATCAATTTATTCGGTGCAAACTATTCTAATCATGATTAATAAATTTTCGTGGACGACTATTAAAGTTTTATGGAGTTCGCGCATATATATTAAGAAAAGGTGCACGGCATATAGTATAAGTAAAAGAGGAGATAGACGAGCGAGAGAAGGTAGACAGAGATCATCAGACGTGAAAGCTTGGATGGAAGTTTTTGCCGATCTTAGCCATCTTTTAAAGTGAAGTTACTTCACTTTGGATCCTACCCGATTGACGTATTGAATATTTAACATATTAATAGTAAGCCTTCACATCATGCCAACTAATCTGTGCAGTGAAAATTTCACCGTGCACATCTCACCATCTTACTCTCTCTGGATTAGCTGCCTGGAACCCGTCTGCTCAATTCAACACCTGTCGCTGATGAATTGTCCATCTTTATGATTTACAACTGATGCATTGGGTTGACTCATTGGGACGATGATAATTAGTTGTGCTGGAATTGAAAGTGTTGCGGTTGCCAATAGTGCCAAAGAACAATTATCAAGGAGACAAGCTTGAGAGGAATGCCTGGAATTCTCAGGACTTCAACAAGAGACGTCATAGAGACGTAACATGTATAATAAGGAAATTTCGTGCTTCCTTATACGAGAGTGAAAGATGATTCCATACAGGAACTTTATTTCGTTCAGAAGTGGTTTCTGTAACAAGTGGAAATATGACAAGACATTAACTTCAATCGTGGTATAATAACTGGTATATGTATCAACTGCTGTTTCAATTACCTAGTAAGCAAGTAAAGATCGGTACAAAATTGACATTGGTACAAAAGAGACAATATTCAAACAAGGTTCTTACCGCGTCATCGGAAAAACTAGGTTGCTTTGAGACGTAAGAAATTCGAGGTCGTGGTACTATACTGCAACGTTATACAAATCCAGCTGAACGTGACGAGAACCATATCACCTTGCATCGGACATAAGGGTCGAACCGATTTGCTATCGAGAGACCTCAACAATGTACGTCACGGAGCGTGGAATACGTTTTTCGACGCTGGTTGTCCGTCAGAGTTAGAGTACGATTTAGGTTAGCGGATTAATCTAGTTTTAACCAAATGATCATGATTAATGAAGGAATAACCTGTGTTTACCGATGTTTTTTCATTAAAATATTAAATTCAAATACCTTTATTTTTCTCATTATATTACTAGCCGATTACCATCGCAATGTAAAATAGACTGACGTTAACGACCAGTACGATGTATAGTGATTCCCCGCCACAGCTCTAAGATATTTCGATCATTGTAAAAGTGGCTCTACCTGAATACGTTCGTTCTGGAAAAGGGATCATCGAAGATACGCTCATTCTTGGAGAAGCTTCGCGCTACTACGATCATGCTGGCCGAGGAACCGCAACAATACTAGTATTCCATAGGCTCCACAGATATTTTCTAATTACAAGAGAGGACTTTGCTGGAGTAAATAATTTTAGAGAAGTAATCATAAACAACAGATCATTATACAAGAGGTCTGTGCAATAATAGAGGTCTCAGCAACATTGTATCAGGCGAGAACAGGATGATCAATAATTTGATCAACATAGAAGAGGCTTCACAAAAATTCCATCATTCAATAATGATGTTCTACAACATTATATTATTTAATATGAGAGCTCCGCATCAACAAATCATTCTAGAAAAAAAAACCGTAACAGCAAGACTAATATCTGTTAGCTTCAAGCTTAAGACGAGCAGCTTAGCTCGTTAGTTGAAACATAAAATTACAAAATAACCAATGACTTCAACTGATCATACGTGCAGAAAGCTACTCAAAAAATGCGCCCATAATAAAATGTGAGAAATTCATGAATTCCAACGCTATAATTTGTTATAACTTAATCGAATTAGGCATCAGGCTTCACTGAAATTTTTAGCGGTGATGTGAAAATAAAGAAATTTGGTAAAAACTTCAAAATCAAATACAATTTTCAGTACATGTTTTAAGAAATCATGGCAACCTCTGCCCGATGTCTTAAGCCTGCGCGCCCCGCAACCCCCACCCGATGTCGTTAAGCCTGCCCTGCCACCCACCAGCCCGAGGAAGATCACCGCGCAGGCTTTGGACGCGTCTTTCATGGCTACGGCGTTGCGGTCCGGAGGAGCGTGAGGAGTTGATGAAGAAGGAAAGGGCGAATTACGGGGTGACTTCGGCGTACACAATTTCCGTGGAGAATGTCCTGTGGGAAAGAAGGGGATAACATTTAATGTGAAAGAATACCGTATCATCAATTAGGGCACATATATGTATAGTGTCCACACATTAGAAATCTCTTCGCACAAAGAACAAAATTCTATGCATTGAAAATTTCTACTCCAAGAACACAGAAGTAAATTAAATTACGACCACTCATTTTACACTGCACTTAATGCACCATAACTTTGCATAGTAAGTCATTTAAAGCAAAGAATAACTACCATTCAGCATTTAATACAAGAACAAATTACCGCTCGTCGAGCCCAGTTTCCAGTGCAATTAAGAGAACTGCCGCAGGGGAATAAAGAATAATTTTGTTTTGTGGTATAAGCCGTTTGTTTCAACTCAGGAAAGTCATCTATGTTGTGCGATAGAAACAGAAGTAGCATATGTATGTCCATATTTGTCTAAGATGTCATGTATTAGAGGAGGAAATTTCACTTCATTAATTTAGGTTTCAATCCCACTTGATACTTGACCTTAAGGATTACTCGAAATAATTGCAGTCGGAAGACATAATATAAAAAAATAATACATCAATATTCACAGTTACAATTTTCCAAGTTCGGCAAGATTTTTTATCAAACTTCTTTCTTCTAACCTGAATTTCTGAATAATTGTAAGATTGATGCTCGATTCAACCACGGTCCAAAGATCGTTTTTATTGATAATTATCGGACGTCAACGTCTTCACTTATGAATTGAATTATATGCAACAATAACGTTAACTTCGTCCCCTCTTATTAAATACATCAAAATACAAGTCACAAATGCATGAGGTCTCATCCCACTTGGTCACGAGTAGACCGCGTGGTCTCATCCACGCAGCGTAATATATTGATGGCCATGAATTTAAGTGCGTTCAGGTCTTTTAATATTATTAATTTAGAATGCGTATGAGTAAAAATGAGTACAATCATCTTGAGCCGGTGTTTGGTTTGAGTTTCATTCGGATACATTGTATCCAAAAGAAAATGTGAGAAAAAAAGAATACTTCTTATTTCATTCATATTCGTTTGACTTTATGAAACTAAGAAAATTCCTCTAAATAATTCAATCATTGAATTTAATTACATATGCAATACATAAAATAATTCACGATCAAATTCAGACACCTAGACAACGAGGTTTCGTGGGAGCCTTTGTCGGAAACTTTTTAATTCCTTAGGCTGTAAGTTACGAGTATTCTTTTCCTGCCTATCGATATAGGTGTGTGTCTGTAAATAAGCTCTTTGGCTGCAGGACTTGGCAGTGAAAATATCCTTTTAATAGATGATGCACCAGGAAAGTATGAAAAATATCCCTCCTCAATTTTTATTCATAAGTTTGATTGATCGTTCTTTCTTTCACTTTTATCTATTTTTATTGATAATCAATGTTCGGGCTTTCTTTAATTAGAAGAGGGCAGCCTCCATTGTTAAATTTGGGGCTTTGCCCTTTCTCGTGGCGCGGTCACTTTAACGTTTGAGCTTCGGTTTCTTACTTGAATAATGTAACTACTTGTTTCAATCTTTTGAGAAAGCTTGGTTCTTTCGTGTATGCTAAATTACTAGTTTTTTTGGAGTCAGCCTCTCTTTCTACTTTAAATAATTTCCCCTTAAATGGCCTCTTAAAATTATCGCTGAACCGATTGGTGGCAAAAGATTTTAAGGTGGGTACGAGGCTGCTCCTGTTTAGAAATAGTGGTATATACTTTTAGGCTCGTCATTCTCCCATTATTTATTCCTTCTTATTTTACAGCTATTTATATTTTGTTTCAATAAAACAACGGCAAATCTGATGAGTCACATATCGGTCACTTTTTGGCGGCTCCTAGAGACACCTAATTTACAATTCCAAGATTTTCTGTTCATTAATGGGTGTAAATTTCTTACTATGATAAATGAATTTATTGCCATTAATTGCAACCTGATAATAATATCGCTGCTCTACCGAATATTGAATTTAAACGTAATTTCTTGATTTTAAAGTCATGTTGTGCCGCGCTTCGTCGTCTCTAACATCGAAAAATTCTGTTGAATCAGCTACCAAGCATATTGTTCTGAATTAAGATTTCATCCAATTTTTCTTTGTGATCCTGAGGTAGAATTGAAAATAAAAGTTCACTTGTTTCCACTTGAAGTATTGTAATAATGTTTTTATTAAAACATTTCTCTTTAGAAAAGATCATTGGGGTCGCCTGCCAAGCAGACAACACTTCTTGTTGTTTGTTTGTTTGTTTGTCTGCTACAAATCTTATAATCGATATTTGACACACTTCTCCCTTTTCAATAGATCTGAAATTTTGCACACCTGCGTAAAGTTGAAAACAATGCATGAATCAATTGACATAATAAATAATTTCGTTATTTAAATTTTAAATAAAAATTTTAAGTTAACTTTTTTATTGTTTGAAAATAAAATTAGAAATTCATTGTGAATGAGTAACATCGGAGACACTGGATTCCTTAGAAGTGTTGTCTTCAAAAAGGAATTTTTAAAGCATATTATTTTATAACAATTATCTTTAATTCACTTCTTGTTGTTTATCTGCTACAACTCTTAAAATCTTATAATCGATATTTACCACACTTCTAATTGTCCAATCGATCTGAAATATTTCATACTTGCATGAGTAAAGTCGGCGACAATGCTTGAATCAATTGACAGAATAACATATTGTATTAAGCTAAACCCGTTCCCTTCATTAATTAGTAAAACCCTACATCAATCTTCCCTTTTTCCAGCAGCAAATGTTCACAACAACCAGCACAGGCAGACAATGACCACCAGCACACCATAAACAACCAGCACAACAACCAGCACAGGCTATTTCTCATTTAAACTAAACCTAGATTTGGTTAAAAAACTGAATTTTTTGCGGTAGATATAAATCCCATGACTGTACAAGCGATAGAATTGTCAACCGAAATAATCACTTGTATCCACTTCTTCTATCATATTTTACCGACAATTGCACAAGGTGTATCAGTATGCTCAAGTTATTACGATTTTTACAGATTTAATTCAAACAGACGTGACTTGAAGAAAGAAGTCATATTAAAGAAAACAAGTAGGCACAAAGTTTCCAACCTGTTCGTTGTTCACTACAGCTTGACAGCTCTGCACCTTACTGCACTAGCAAAATAACTGACCAGACCTCAGAAGTTAGCCCGCGTCCAGATGGCTGATGCGTAGAGCAGACGGTAAAACATGCAGGTGTGCTCCGCGCGTGTTTATTGACCGTTCATTATGTTAGTATACGTCGACTAACGTCATGAAATGATATAAGTTTATTTATAGAGAATACTTTCGTCTCAATGATGTTTGCTAACTTCGTCTAGCTTAGTTTGGTCTCTGATTCTATGAAGTTATTCGAATTAGATGACGTTGTTACACATCCTAATACTTGAAAAAAGTTTTAACGGTGAAATAATCGTAAAATTCCCAATAACCTAACAGTTATCATCTCGGGAACATAGCATTGATAAAACTCAATCATGACTGGCCGAAAAATTAACTTAAAACATAGCTCACGCAAAATATTTTTCAAGCATCCTCTATCAAAGCTTGACATTGAAATTCACCTTAAACAAATTCCCATAACTTTTTGCATCCGTGGGAGGCAACCTACCTTATTTTTATTATCTGAATTGAAGAATTAAAACTGTATTTAGAGTAAATACATTTATCTACATCTTAGTACGCTGATGCGGAAGCTAAATAGGGCGCTACACTGAAACAAATCGGTGTGTTGGTTGCAGACATCTCAACTAGCTAAAACGCTCAATGTAGATAAACGAATCATTCCGAAACGTTCGTTCGCCGATTTCTCAACAGTTCGTTCGCCGTCTTCTCTAATTTTCGCTCAGCCAGCCACAGCCGCTGCAGC